TATCTCCAGTCTCTTTGATACAAACAAAAGGGACATATATAAACCTGATTCTCTGATACTCTAATTCTCTGAGTGGGCACCTGTATCTGTGTGCGTGCACACATGCACACATGCACACATGCATGTGCAATCTAACTACCTCTATAAATTTCAAGTAGGCAAGATATTCTGATCTTTACATTTGAAGTAATGGGCCCTATCCTGTCTTCCCTTCCTTTACTGAGTCTCCTATTCATCCCTCAAAGCCCACTTTAAATGTTACCTACACAAGTTTTCCAAGCAGTTCTTTAAACACTCCTCTGGGTTCCCTACAATGGACTACAATGAATTTCACACTGCACTGAATTATTGGTAAATATGTTTCTCCCAACAAATTTTGAGATATCAGTTTCATACTTATATCTTACTTACTGTGCTAGACACAAGGTAGATATGAATGTCTGTGAAATAAATGACAGACAAATGAATAAATGGATGGGTAACTTGACATAAGAATACAATAATCAAACTACACCCCAGAGTTAGAATTATTTAGGTTTTCCTAATAAAATCATGATACATAGTTAGCAATATAGTTGTTCCTATTTCTACATTCTAATAGGATATCAGAATCCTACCTATTTTCTTAAAAGTATCATTTGTTCACTCTGTCCTTTTAGATTGACTCTCAAAGTGAACCTGGGGTCCAAAAGAAAAGCTACACAGATGAAACAGTAAATTAATATTAAAAATGCAAAAGTACATTTTAAATGAATTTCTGCTACACTGACACATTAATTTACTTTATAAAACTGATTCCTATTTCCCCAAATCTCTTATTTACTTTCTTTTATAATAAAATCAGTCTTTTCAAAGTTTTTCCAGCATTTTAAAACAAAGCGTCACTTCAGTGTACTGAGCTTATGGAATGTCACATAGATAAGAATTTCTTAAGATCCAAATTTTAGTGTATAGTAATAGAATGATCACATCTTTCTTTTCTTCTCTCAATCTCATCAAGTAAAAATGAGATATTTTTATCACTCTTTATTCCCACTACCACACCAGTTGTGATAACTGCAAACCCAGTAGAAAACCGAGATTCTAGCCCCAGCAGAACAAGGTCTCCTCCTCAATCTCCCCCTCACCTGCATAAGGTAGAGACCAAAGAGAAGTAACCTGCAGCCCAGAGAGCTTACCTTCCACCTCTATACAAAAGAATATGGTAAAAAGAATCTCATTGCATAAACATTCAGGGTACACAGAAATCATCATGGATGAGGCACATAAGACTCTCTAGTAAAGCCTAAAAAATCCAAACTATAGAATTCTTGAGCTCCATCCAGAATGGAAAGTCACATCCCAGATGTCTAACTCAAGCTCATCATCTCAGATGAGAAAAATAAGGGCCCACTGCCTGCTATAGTAGCAGACACAGAATGAGAATTCAACCATACTCTTGCCACTACACTATCTTCTCTCCAGCTCAGCCATGTCCCCCTTGGGCTACACACATCAGGGACAACATAGACACAGTCCAATTAAAAATAGGAGTGGAAGACAGTGATTCTTCATTCAACTGGAGTTCTTAATACACATTGACCACATAAGCAGAGATACACTGAGGTCCATGCCTATATATCTAAAGAGGTATTGAAATAAACCACAATTTTTAATTAATTTTACTCCCATGAGCATTTATTAAACACCTACGATGGACAAGGGCCCTTGCTATTTATTAGATAATATTCAGAAGAAAAATGTGGCCCACACCCTTTTGATCCATTAGTGGATACAAAAATTCATTTGGCAATACTATAAATTATACTGTTTCCAATATAATCATGGAAATATAAACAAAGTATTACTGGGACCTGGAGGAAACCACAAGAAATGCTAACCAGAATAACTAGGGCTAGAGTTAGGGATGTGATGGAGGCTTTGCAAAAGAGGTGACATTTTCACTGAATCTTAAAAGGTGCTGCTTCATCAAGCAGAGAAGGGATTAGAAAGGCATTCCAGAGAGAGGGATTACCTTGACCATGTGTACTTGTCCGATTGCATGACATATTTGGAGAACATCAAATAGACTCAAATTATGTGGGGAAATGGTTACAAGAGATGATTCTAACAATGCAGATCCGGAGGAAAAATGGTTTATGAAAAGTATTGAATGCTATGCTAAACAATGTGAGCCTTATCTTTCCAAGGCAAGTATTGGAAGGGCTCTCCATGGAGAAGAGACATTTATATCTGAGTATTGAAGGTAATTCTGCCATTAATGTGGAAAATGAATTAGAGATGACAGATATTAGATACAGAGAAGCAGCCAAAAGTATGTTATGTTTCCACAAAGAAATTATAATATGGAAAAGTGTCTCTCAGAGCACACTTTCCTCAAGAGCAATTTCCAAGTCTGATGTTACTCTTTCACATGAAAAGGTATGTTATTTCAAAAACACACATAGAAGAAGAGCCATTTTGCCTTTTCTTGGATTACCTCCTTTGTCCAGCTGGGATTATCAACTAGTGATGTGGCCACATAGCAAGGCAGGTTAGAGTCTACCTCTAACCATACACTTTATGTGCACAAAAGCTCTAAACAAGGCTGTCAGGATTCACAGAAAATCTAACAAGACAGTTTGTATCCCCAAACAACATGCAAGATGTTGTTCTCCAAATTTCTACCTCCTGGGTGCCAGTTCCTGCAATATTGTCACTGGTATTGGGTCCACATTCAATGTACTTCTCACCCTGCTCTAAGCACTGCCATTAATGAGAGCATACACAAGCAAGAGGGCAGCCATATTGTTTATGAAAAGTATTAAATGCTTTGCTAATGCAGAAAACCACTGAAATAATCCAGATAGGGAGATGAGGCTCCACCTAGTCAACATTCCTACAGGCAACTTGCCTGAATACAAAATTAGATGTGCTCTTCTTGTCGACCAATAAGCCACAGGAGTCTGAATCATGCCAGTGATTTCATCTGACAGGCTGGTCAACTCTCAATTGGTGAGAATAAATATTCCAACGGGGCATGCGGCAATCTTTGGAGCAAGAAACAAATAATACAGCCCCTACTTGGATTTTCTCACTTATCATATCCTTTAAAAATGTTTACTTTGATGAATGTTTTATAAAATAATATAACATATGAACTATATAGTTTTATATATACAGTTTTGAATAAATTAATATGTATATGTTGAGATACATAGTCAAAATAGCATCATTTGATGGGGTATGCATACAAAAAAACAAGTTTGATGGGTTATGTGATCAGAAAAGTTTGAAGACCATTTTGATAAGCCCATAGCCCTTCCATCCACTTAAGGATAGAATTTCTGCTCTTAAAAAATATTTTATTGAATTGAACTGGGATCAACTGAATTAAATCCACATTGCATTCCTAAAAGTGAAATAATTGAGGGCATGAAAAAAGGAAAACATCATTTTATATTTTTTAAGTTTAAAAGCTTCCTTCATCTTATATCTCATATATCTTTCTTTGTACTTGAAAGTGCAGACAAAAGCCATTTAGGAAATGAATGTTTGCCTAAACCAAAAACCATGTTTAAAAATCTAAATTCAATTCTTTATTAACATTTTTAAAAAAAAATTATTCTCTTATGAAAGCACTTACTAAACATATTTAAAAATCTAAACCAATCAACCCATAGTTTAAAATTTTACCAAGGCAGAAAAGTCCTAACACGTTCTATGTGGTTAAAAATGTTGTGTTAGCCAAGGATGGTGGCATAGGGCTGCAACCCCAGAAACTTGGGTAACCGAGTCAGGAGGATCACAAGTTCAAAGCCAGCCTTGTCAACTTAGTGAGACCCTGTCTTAAAATAAAAAATAAAAAGGGCTGAGGATGGAGCTCAGTGGTAGAGCACCCCTGGGTTCAATCCCCAGTACTAGAAAAAAAAAAATGTGTGTTATATTCAAATGCAGGCCATCATTTCTTGTCATCTACAATCTTGAATAAAACTTTAATATTACATATTTATATTACATGTGTGTGTGATAATGTTGAAGCAGTATATATATAGAAAAACATTTGCCTTTCATTTCCATCAACTGAGGACTCCAGAACTTCTCCCAGTCTGAGCTTCTTTCAATTTTTGACTTTTCATAGCCTCAAGACTCATATTTCAGATAACTTGGATTAAATTCTCATTTGACCATCAATAATTCTAATAAAAACACTAAAAATCATTTCATTACAAATTTTAATGTTGAAACACTAAGTTGGAATATAGCAATAAGCTTTTATTTGTATTCACATTTAGCAAAAGTTAAGTCTCTACTGTGCAGCATGCACACATTTTAGGTACTGTACTTAGAGGAATGAAGAGATACAAGGATGTAAAGTCATTCCCCTCCCTGCAGAGCAGAGACAGGGACTCTGTCTCATTCACAGTTATACCCCAGCACCCAATATAATGCCTGGTACCTGGCAGAGCACAATATATACTTCATCACTGCCTCCCCCAAGGGTCTTACAACCTAGGAGGGGTGGGAAATGAAACTGGAGGGAAAAAAGAAACTGAATATTTGCAAATAATTACAATGTTGTTATATTCTTATTCACATATAAGAATATCTGACAACAATTTCCATCTCCTTTCTCTCCTGGCACAATGGAAGTTTTATGTTGCTCAGAAAAAAGGTTTAGACTCACTGCATGGTCTATTTCTAGTTTTAATTACAATGCTTGGCAAAGCTTGGGAGATCATTTCAATTCATTTCAAAAATAACTCCCATTCAATACAAGAAGATGGGATTTTTCACAGTTGTGAATTTTTTATTTACTTGATAATGAAGATGGTTTGGCATATAAATAAAGCACTTTCTTTGCAACTTTGGTCTAGTGAAAATGCAGAGCTGATGATCTATTAATAAAAATGAATGGCTTACAGGCTCAGTTTCATTTCTAGCTCTTTTTAGTCTAGGGAAAATGCCGCTTAAATAAAACATGGGACACAGAAACTGACAAAGTCTTTCCCAGTACTTACCGATCCATACAGCTCCCCCTTCTCGTTCATTCCGAGGTAGAGTCCACTGTCCACTCCACGAATGCTGACTAGGCCCACTGCTATACTGATAAATTCCAGAATGCCTATGAGACAAACAGCAGAAGACAGAGAACAGATTAGAGTACAGAGCTGATCCTCCAGAGTCTCAGCATCCCTGAGGGTTTACAAAGAAAGCTGAATTCAGTTCCCAATTTGAATAACTATGCATTAAAGAAGTAACATCTCTTTTAAAATCACTGCCTAAAAAAATTTGATTTTGCAACTAAGGTCCATTCTACTATATTGATACAAAAATAGTTACCAATATGAGCCAGGTATGGTGTCTCACATACAGTCCCAACCATTTGGGAGACTGAAGCAGGAGGACTGCTTAAGTCCAGGAGTCTGAGGCCATCCAGAGTAACACAGTGAGACCCCATTTCAAAATAAGCCACCCAAACATCAACAACAACAACAAAACAAAACAAAACATATAATTTACATAATAAAGAAAACATTTTAAAAATTCAAAAAAGATAATATCTATGTAGACATGATAAGGAATTATAGAATTAAAACACAGCCAATGAATATACTCTAATAACACTAAAAGTATAGATGAAGAAAAAAATGACCTACTTCCACTTTATAAGTGTGAAATTAAATATTAGTGTATGTGCATCTTGATCTTAGACTTCTCAGCCTCTAAAACTGTGAAAAGTAAACATCTGTTATTTAAACCAAAAGAAAAAAAGTTATTTGTGTATAGGTACATATCATAAAACATCCATTCAGAGAATGGTCTCATGTCACTCAAAATAACAGTATGAGGTGTTATCTAAAGTCTGGGTTGAAATTACTCAGCTCTTGATTGTATAACTTTATTGAGCTCCATCTGAAAAACTAAAATAGCACACACACACATCCCAAATATCTCTGCTTAAACAAAGTATTGATTTTTTGCTGTGCTTATCTAAACCTCAAAGTGACAGTTGAGCAATTAAGATAGCACAATATTCTAGAGGGGAAAATGTTGGTTTCAAAAATACTCTTGACTTAAAATAGGCATGGGATATTATATCCCCAAACCAAATCAAAATAATGATCTTCTTTTATTTCCTTCTTTCCCTTTGCTTACCTCACTAAGAATAACAACACCTAAGTTGGACATAAATCCAGAATTTTATTGCCACACAACAGCAGCTTCAATTTCCCTAACTGTATTGTTGTTTTAAGATGATAATCCCACAATATATTCAGGGCACTGCTAACATTCCTTGTATTCAGCCATTCCCCAATTTTGTTATAAATTAAAATGCTTTACTTTGTGTAGTCTTTGGATCAACGCATACCAAATACTGAGTTCTCATTTTTAAAATATCTCTAAATATTGAAAAATTTACTTATGTTCAAGAGTTTAGAAAGAACTCAGAGCAACACTGTGCTATAGTCAGTCTCATGTGACTAATAAAAAGGCACTTACATGGATTTTTGAACAATTAATTTTGCAACTCTCACAAAACAGACTGCACTGAAATCAAATGAAGACAAGAACTACATAAATCTAATAAAGCAAAGGATTAACTCAGGAGGAAACTCTATTCCAAGGTCATGCAAAAAAAGAAGAGCTATTTCTTCTAAAAAGGTATTTCTGATACTTTTATAAATATAAAATGTTACAGATTATCTCATGCCTAATTTACAGAATATCTATCTATACATGCAAACTTATTTATTCTAATACAATGTGAAATAGTATATAGAAAAAGTATAAAGAGAAATTATAAATTATATTTTGAATCCAATAACCTGTATCTCTGTCATGGAAGACATATCTAAAACAGGTCAATTTATGACTAGCCTTCCCTATCTCACAAAGCAAACAAGAAGATAAATGAGGCAATATTTTCATGAGATTCATTTCACATGAGATGCACTCCCTTTTGGTGTAATCATTTTATTTCACTGTACCATTTCTAAATCATATGATTCAAAATAATCAAAATGTGACATTGTATTCCTATTAGGAATCTCATACACATGACTCTCTCCTCTGCTACCTGGAAGTGTACCACAATCTAGGTCATACTTATCCTGAAATTAGCATAAGGAGTTAATTCATATCCAATTTTCATTATAACATGAAATACAGAAAATGTTTTACCCCCATTTAGGTCCAAATGATTTAATTTACCAGGTCAATGAGGAAAGGTTTCATCATAAAACTAAAAGATACCTGTGTCCTCTAAGAGGGTATGTGATAATCTTTCTGTTTTCCCTAAACTTGAGGCAGCTCTGAGAACTAATAATGAGTATTAGACAGCATTTTCCACTAGGTGCAACACAAAACATGATTTCACAAAACCATTTGACTGGCTGGTCTATAGATGGATAACAGTAACAACCATAGTGATCATTATAATAGCTAGAATAATTAAACATCTAATCTCTGACAAATGAGAAGCCTTTTCTCTTTCAGTTCACAGGACAACCTCAGACATTACAATATGTGCCTATAGGGAACTGATATTTCAGAAGAGTAAATAACTTGCATCAAGTAATCATACTTTAAAGCCTATTTCTTTAACGAGTATGTATATTTTTATTTGTTTTTACTTTTCTTTCAGGTATTTGTGATTTTTGTACCACTTTCATACTGCTAAGCTCCAAAATTATTATTATTGCATAATTTGGAAAGGAAACTATTAAGATATCTATGTTAGGTTTTTTCTGGTATTGACAAGATAGGTAAAATTCATCTGACTTTATTTTTCTATTCAACAAACTGTTATTGAGGGACTATCATAAGCTAAACACCATGCCATTTATTGAGTATATAAAGATTAATAACATCTGGCCAATGAACTATATCATCAAATTGCTCACCAGATACAAAAGCCCTTTCTTATCTGTGAGGGATATATCCCTTGGATGCCTGAAATCACACATAGTACCAAACCCTATACATATTACATTTTCTCCTATACATACATACCTAGGATAAACTTTAACTTATAAATTAGGTACAGTAAGACATCAACAATAACTAATAAAAAAGGAAACAATTATAAAATATACTATAATAAAAGTTATTTAAACTTATAAACTATTTATTTCTGGAATTTTCCATTTAATATTTTCACATTATACTTGGCCACAGGTAACGGAAACTGTAGAAAGTGTAAATGCAGATAAGGGGGACAACTGTAATATAAAGAACAAAAAAAGATAACCATGGTAATAATGTGGTGACTGCAAAGACAGGGAGATGTTCAGGGCAGCATCCAAAGGTGGGTGGTTCGCTCAGATTTGGGAAGGCAAGTCAGAGGCAGCTTCCTAAAAAAATACCTGAGATAAGTCTCTGAGGAGCTATCCAAGCGAGAAGGAATGATCTAGTGACCCCAAGTGGAAAAGATTGCATCATCTCAAACCACCATCCATATCTCTGCAGCTTCCTGAAAACAGAGACGCCAAAGAAGCAGCCCAAATTTTTATGAGGTCACCTCAGAGATCCAAGGGCAAATAGAAAACCTGGGTGTATGAGTCACAGCCTTTCTCCCACACCCAGAGAACACTAATGTTGTAAGGTCAGGAAGACCTGGCAACCTGGTAATGGAATCCCACCCCAACCACACTGGAATCCTTATCCCTCCTGGTACCATGTTGTCCACAATGAACTCTATAACCTCAACTGAGCCAATTACACCCTTGCTGGGCCAGAGTTGGTGCCAGGCAAATGCTTCCAACCGTCCTCCCTCTAATACAACCCACTCCCCATGTTATCTGTTTATTCATGTAAACATGAGCAAGCACTCTGGGCAGCATAGACAGTGCTGGATCAATAATGGCTTAGGAGGTTTCTCCGTAGAGACACTTGAATGTTTAATGATCAAGAGGAAAGAAAGGAAAAGAAGCAAGAGAGGAAGGAAGAGAATAATGAGATTGTGCCTAAAATTTAAATTGTGGGCCTTACCTGTGTATCATGGCAGCTTGTGTCTTGTTCTAGCAGATACAATCACAACACACTCAGCCTTAGAATGGCCACAGTAAGGGTAGTGATGAAGTCACATGGGATACCCAAGGTCAGTGACTAGAGTCATCTCTCTATTCTCTTTCCCTGTAGTCAACAATTCCAAATGATGATTCTCTTACTGGGCCTCATATGATCTGATGAGGTTCAGGATTGTCTGTGGACCATAAGAAACCAAGTCCATGCCTAGACTACTTCAAGAAAATATATACAGCATACCTTAGTCCTGTCCCAGTCTCATGGCTATTAGTGATCAGCCTCAGAGCTGATGGAACTTCCCCAGCTCTGTCCAAATGATCCATTAGCCCCATGCTGGCCCAGCCTCCTACAGACCACCTGAACTGGTCCTCACCTTCAAGGCAAGGCCAGCCATGAAAAGTGGGAGAGCAGACAGAGGCTGCCTTACCCTGGCTCACATTAAACAAGGCTTTAACCTAAAAGCCCTCAACACTTAACAGATCTGCTCTCTGTTAAAATGCTCAAATGAGATAACAAAACATTTGCAGAAGGCAAATGTTATCTATAATCCCAGATACTAAGAAGGCTGAGCAAGAGGATCACTTGAGCCCTGGACACATACATACACCCACACACACGTATATGTGTGTGCATAAATACACACATAAGAGAGAGAGAGAGATACACATACACAGACTGTTGACAGAAGCATGACATGAGGCAGTCAAAATGGATGATTAAGGCTCTTCCCTGAAGATGTTCACCTAGAGAAGCCCACACCAGGGCATCCAGTAAGTCCAAATCTGTAGCAACTAGAGCAAACCAGAGTTAATTTAGGAAATGACCGACTGAATGAGACAGAGAACCCCACCAATTTTTCAAGAATCTGAAGCGAGCCTAAAAACAGCCTCTTAAAAAAGACAGCTTTTCTCTAGTAAGACACTGAAAAGCAAGACACAAAGAATAAGACTTCTTAAAGGGCAGAACCCTGGAATTAAGTTTTTTAAACTTCCCTTTATTTAAAAGAAAAAAATCACACCATCATATTTCTCTGCTTTTGTGCAATCTCCACCTGACACCTGATTCCCTTTGAATGTGGGCAACCCCAGTTGGGGAGCTCATCCAGAGTCCTGATGAAGTCTAGCACCATGCCAAGAGGTGAACCTGGTCCAACATTCACTTTTATTATTCAACATTACCATTGCCCCAATTTTCTGCTCACCCTTTTCTCCTCTCCATCTAGCAAGGATGGAGTGCTTTGAAAGTGAAAATACATGAATATATAAAAGAAAGACGCTTGTTCCTCCAGCCTATTACCTAGAGATACAATTCCCAGTTCTTATCCTTGCTCAACCTTTCCTCTACACCGCTACCCTCAAAGGAAAAAACAAAGGGCTCCCTTAAGGTCCCACCTAAGTTGTCCCTGCTGCAGCTCCTGCTGGAACAACACTGACTCCCCCACCCCCACATCCCCTGCACTGCTGCTGCTGTGTCACGCCAAGCCGGCCAGCCCCTGCAGTCACCTGCAGCTGCATGGGGGCGGCAGAAATCATTTTTCCAGCACGTTTCCTTCTGCCCTTCCATTTCAGGTAGAAAATGCACCTTCTATTTTAATCAAGATGTAAACCCACCCCACCCCCCACCCAAAGCTACTCTGAAACTGAAGGTAAAGATGAAGTCCCCAGAGAGGAGCCAGAGGGAATAGCTGGAGGCCTCTGCTGGGGGAAGGAAGAGGGTAAAAGGTGAGGCAGCAGCGGCTAGCAGGAACGCCAGGTGCGAAGAGCTGCCGCAGACCCTCAGCCCCCTCCCTTTGCCCGCTAGCTTCCTCCACCCTCCCGCATCGCGCCTCCGGGTCCTAGCGCCGACACAGCCTCCTTCTGGGCGGGGCTGGAAGGCAGGAGTAGGAGGCTCCCGGCACACGCACCGCGCTGCAGAGGTTGCTAATATTGGGACCTGCCGCAGAGGCAGCAGCGGGAGACCGCGGCACTGCTGTCACCCCGGGGGCCCGTTTCTCACTGCAACCGGATGAAAGACTTAAATAACCCTCCTGCCTCACACTCCTTCCCCACCCCCACTGCGCACAGCCACCCACTCAGCTCCATCCAAACGAGGGTGAGTGGCACGGCGATGCGCTAGCGCCCTTCCCCCGCCACCGACATAGGGCCGACCTACTAGCTAGCGGCCCGGGCGCCACGGGTCCCCAACCTGGGCCGGGACTTCCGCTCTCCACCAATCAAACACCGCCCTCCCACACACATACACACACACACACACACACACACACACACACACACTGTGCCGAAGATCCTAAGGAGTAGCGATGTCACTTCCTTGGCGACACCTTTCTCCAACCTCTAGGATCGAGGAAGGGTGAGGAGATCTAGTTTTTTGTTCAATGCTCTCTTATTCGACCTCTGTACCTGTAGTCCTTTTCCGCTGACCCCAGAACGTGCCTCTCTCGCTTTCCCCACCCGCGTGGTCCCCACCCTTGCATCCTTGCTCTCCTCGGTGACAGTTACTGAATTTCTGGTGACTTGCTTTCGTGTGATAACTACCCTAAAGGTGACTGCATTAAAAAAAAAAAAAAAAAAAGCCATGGGGGAGGTACGTGGAGAAGCCCCAACTACAACATCCTATAATCTCTCCACACCAGGGCACCATCGTGCTGCACCCGGGAAAATTCACACAATGAAGCTGGTCCTAGCCGGCCGCGACGCCCCTGCAGCTGTGCGCCCCCTCCATACCCTGGCACTCACCGCGGACTCCCCCCAGCCCAGAGGCGGGCACTGAAGTGGGAGCGCAGAAAAACCGGCCCGCGGAGCCCTACTCTTCGAAAGCTGTTAACAATAGCACACCGCCCCCTCCGCCCGCCTCCGCGGCCCTTTGTCCCTCACCCCTTCCCCTGCAGCTCTGACCCTTTTCCTCGCCCAGGGACCCCGACCCACCTCCCGGACCACGTAGAGCCCTTCGACTCTCCAAAACCCAGCTGCGTGCTTCAGAAAGAGGGGGAAGGACAAGGAATGAGACTGCGGAGCTCAGGGATCCGACCTCCAGCCTGTCCTCAGTCCCCGCCACCAACTCTCCTGCAGCGGCGCGCGCCTCCAGCCGTTCCCACACCGCAAACCACCGCGCTGCCCCGGGCAGCGGCTGTCAGCACTGCCAGACCTACACTCACACAAAGAGAAAGCGAAGGGACTGAACTTGGGCAAAAAATGAAAACTCAGATCCTCTAAATGCGGTTAGAAGTGTGTCAGACCCTACCCACCGCCCCCAGACACGAGTCGTCCCGGCAGTATCGGGGGCGCACCCGATCCCGGTGGAAAGGGAGTCAGAAACCGAGAGCGTTTAGGACCGCGCGGAGCTATCCGGGCAGCCGCCTAGTGCGCTGCGGGGCCGGGGCGACCGAGCCCGCACCTGCCGGCCGCGAGCGCGGGAGGGCTGGGACTCAGGCTGCTAGGCGCACCTAACTGGCCGCCCACGCCACACTCTGGCTGCTCTCGCTGCCAGGCTAGTGGCCGCTTAGGACTCGGACACACTCGCTCTCCCACCCACGGCCGCCCACCTCCTGTTGTTCTGGTACTGAATGCTAAGCACGGTAGCAGCCCTTAAAGCGGCCAGCTAGAAAAGCACTTTTCTTAAAGTTCTGTCTTCCCTTGCAACAACCAGAAGCTACCTTTACTTCTGGAGTGGTGGGAGAACAGTTACATTTTAACTTAATAATTGTACAGCGAAGAGCTTTTTTTGTTGTTGTTGTTAAGCGGTGAGGGGAAACGGCTAGAGAAATTAACTATTTACCGCTTTGGGCTCAGGCTCAGTAAAGATCAAAAGGAGAAAAAAACTGGGCCTCGAGTATCTGAAACTATCCTCATCTCAGGCCTGAGCCCTTCTCACCTTCTGGCATCATCTACAGTCCAACGAAGCTAAACATGTAGTTTAGATTGTGCTCCACATCTGGCATTAAAGCATGAGGAAGAAAAATCACCACAGGACTTTGTTTTTTACGACCTAGTTTAAGTGTTGTCAGGTGGGTTCACTCAGAAGTTAACTCCTTCCAACAGTCTGGTTGCCCAAACTGGCGCTTAATTTAAAAAAAAAAAAAAAGTAAAGGGGGGGGAAGCTAGATTCCTCCCACCCTAATCAGGACTATGTTGGTTGACTTTGTGCTGTAGGGCTAAAGGTGCCCCAGCAGGCACGTGTGTGCAGGCATCAAAACGGGCAGAGTCACCACCCTCCAGTCTGCAGCCCTCAGTGCTGAGTCACAAATACCCTCCTAGGAAAATGAAATCTTCGGAATGCCCTTTAAAATTAGCTTGCAGCTTTTACACGGGCATGCACACACTCACATCAGAGAACCATTCAGGAAACCCACACAGGGCTGCACACTGTAGAAATTTAAAAATAGAGGTTATAACTTGAGAACTAGAAGGACAAACACCCCTGGTGAGCATTCTGTCCTTTCCCAAGTCATTTTCCCCAAAGCCTCTGTCCCTGCTATTCAGAGTCTAAAATATGACTTTCGCCCTCCTCCCAACAGAACAATCAGTCAGCAATCTTCGCCTACGGGGCTTTTCAGACACACTTGGGGGGAATAAACAATACAATTAATTTACAATTCAAGCAGAATACTTATTAGAGGAAAAGGGGAAATCTTAATCTGAGCATAATATACTCACTGCCTTAAGGAAACTGAATGCATTTTTTAAGTACTTAGTAGTTAATGATTAAAGCTTTAAACTCGTAGAATCAGTCCATTCAAAAGAAACTTCCTAAATCCGATCTTCCCATGTATTTGATGCAAAAGAACTAGAGACTTGTGTTATATTCACAAGTCATGCCCCCCCTTTAAAAAAAAAAAAAAGGCCTTTCAACGTAGACTTGCATTGGTGCCAGCGACAGATCTGCAATTCCGGAGGCTTTTCCCCCCCTGAGCTGGCAAGGCAGAGAGAGAGGAGAGAGCGAGAGACAGAAAGAGAGAAGAGAGATCCCTTCCTGCACCCCCCGCCCAACCACCACCTTCTTCTTGGTAGTTACAGTCCAACACGTCATCGTATGGACACTATAGGGTTAATGGTATACCTACCAAAGCGGCTGTGGTCTTTCCTGGTTCCCTGGATAGTACCATTGGGGAAGATTTCTAAGTGAAATCCAGTCCTGCAGTATAGCTGCCTCCGCCTGAGAATCCCCTTTAAATGATCCAGGTCCGTGACTGCGGGTCCCCTGGGGAGCCCCCCTGCTTCGGACTGACCCAGGTGGTCACTTAACAAAACCGGGCTGTCCACCGGCAACACGGGTACATTCCCAAACGGTACCGCATCCTGTACACCGAAATAGTTCCCAACTTCACCTAAGGGAGCCATCAGAAGACTCGGCTTTTGGAGCACAAGAATAAACAATAATGATGGTGTCAACCCAGGAGATATTAGGCGAGGTATATCCAACTCCCCTCCCTTACTGCAGTTGCAGGGAGAGAGGGAAAAAAGGTTCTTTTCTTCAATCCATTAAATGCATAAATAAAAGTAATCTGCTGCTTCACTGGCACAGGTTCAAGGTCAAACCACTGATAGTCTAAGAAACCACCACTTTATACTCACACACTGACATATTGATAAGCATATCTATGTATCTCTATAGATAGATCCCCAGCTCTTAGCAGGCAGGAAGGTCTTCATCCCATCCGACCGTAATAAGGAAAAAAAATCCGTAGTTTCTCCATTTGCTTTGAGATCAGAATGACCATAGCAACTTAAATGCCTAGGCGTTATTATAGGGATTTTTAAGATGCACGGGCTACGTCAGAATTTACGGATCCTGACTCCAGGAAGGCATGCGCTGTTTTTACTCTCTAACCGACTCTGCAGACATCAGCATGAATCCGTCAAGGGGGTAAAAAAATCTCACGGTTGTGGCGGCGACAAATCTCCCCTCCCAGTCCCCCCTCCAAAAAATAATAATAATAAAACAAAAAGAAGGAAAAACTTTAGGCGTCCAAAGCTAGTATCCAGAAATCTCGAGAGGCTCGGCAGAGGTCCATTGGCTTAGAACCGGTGGCCAGCGGCAAGCGAGGAGAGCCGCGTCCGGGAGCTCGCGTGCCGCCCTGGCTGCCGCGAACAGGTGTTGCCGCGCCGGCTCGCGGAGCGTTGTAGCCGGGCGGAGCGCTCCTCCTGCGCAGCCCCCGCCGGCGCGCAGAGTGGCGCAGGCAGCGGCATTGGGCTGGGTTTAAGGTAGCGCCCGGCCGCCCGGGATCCCCGCGGTCCTAGCGCTCGTCCTTCTGCCCGCGTCGCTCTGCGGCAGGCGGGGCGCAGCCATGCAGAGCGCGGAACTTCCTGGGGAGACGGCCGAGGAACCCTTGCTTCATAAAGAAAAGCAAATGAAAGATGCACAGCCCGAGGCAGGAGGAAGAAACCCTTGGAGTCTCCTGAGACCCCAAGTTCTCCTGCTTAAGAGAAGCTGGTAAACTGAAATCTAGCTCGCTACATTGAGTGAAACTGGGAAACTAGTTTTCACGTGGACGCTGTAATTTTGCGTCGCATTATAAAATGTGACTTAGTTGAGTTGAGGGAAGGGGATGGTTTAATGGGCTTTGATGGACATGGCAGGTTTTCTTTCCTTCTTCAGCCAGACACAGAAGAGCAAACTATATTGCAGGTAAGACGGTTGAATGTAAGTCATCCCCCAGACACACACACACACACACACACACACAAATACACACTTGCCGAGGTGGCCACCCTTTCGGTTTTGTTAGGGAGTTCTGCTGGGCATCTTTGCCTTAGGGCTATGTTTAGGTCCCGCCCGGCCAGGTCCCTCCGCTCGGGTCCCCACGGCCGCGGTGCTTTCGGCGGGGGGGGGGGGGGGGGGGGGGGGGGGGGGGGGGGGGCTCCAGAGAACCGCCTCTGTCCCCGAGTTCGACTCTTGCCCCAGACTAGCGCGCGCGTCTTAGGGGAGTAGGGTAGACAAGAGCGCTCCAAACCACGCTATTTAGGACAAGCTGTGCCATACTAAACCCCATTTTGGCACCGGGAAGGGAGAGGAGAATTCCAGTGTCTCCCTCCGCGGATCCTGGGGATCAGGGCGCCAGACGCTTGCGGGGCGCCCTGGGCAGTAGGCGCTCGTTCCTACTCCGTCCTGTCGCGCCGCACTTGGAAGCCGATCTCCAGTCCCAGGTTCGGGCTTTTGCTCGCGCCCATCTGCCTTCGCGCCCAGCTGGAGACAGGGACAAAGAAACTCTCTGCCCTGGGCCACAAGGGGCTCGGCCGGGCCGAGCCAGCCTGAGAGCCCGGCCCCGTTGCGCTCTGTTTCCCAGCCCACCCGCAGGCGCCCGGATCCCCAGTGGCTGGAGACGCGGAGTGCGGCGCACCCCAATACACACACAGTCGCTCAGAAGCCCGCCCGCGAGCCCTTGTCTCTTTCCCCTGCTCCTCTTTGTTCACATTGTCTCAGAAAAGGCCCGACTCTGGTCAAGATGGTGAAAGTTGCCAAGACTTGAGCGCTGCTCCAGACGGCGTGCGAGTGAGAAGCAAAGTCCAAAGCAGACGCCGGACCCCTGTGGTGGGGAAGCGAACCAAAGCCTTTTTATGGGGGAGAAGTCGGACCCGCCTTAGAAGTCAGCTAAAGGCTGGAGGTGAAGACTGGGGTTGGCCCTATTCCGGCCTTAAAGGTTTCGCCGGAACATGAAATTGAGCAATGAATTTGCAGATTTCTGGGGTGCTAGAGGTACTGGCGACCTGGAGCAACCTTGCTTTTCTTCCCGGGGTGGAAAGAGTGCTCCGGAGGAAAGGGAACGGAGAAAGGGGGGCCTGGTGATCCTCCCCTCTTTCCATTCCCACACCCTTTGCCGCAGTCCGGGGTCATTGGGCGTCCGGGGACTGGCTTGGTTTGTCCTGCTTCCGAGTTTCTAAAGGCGGAGAGCCCTGCCGGATGGTATTTACAGCATTCACATCCGCGGGGTAGAGAGCGGGCTTTAACGTTAACTGCTCGGTGGCAGATACAAGAAGCTGGAAAGGAAGTGCCACTTCTCGTAAACCTCCCGAGTAGCTCACATTAATCACCGAGGCAACCATTAGCGCTGGGTTAAGCAGGAGCGTTCCTCGACCACTTGGGTACTATGCACCAAGTTGGTTACTTTAAAAAGAAAAAAAAAAAAGATGGAAGAGAAGCAAAAGCAAGAGAGATGGAGACAGGTAGCTTGCTTGATACAGAGGGAAACGAGCAGCACGTGGACATTTTCCACTGAAGTCAGTACTGGGACCGTTTCCACCAGCTGTCCAGCTGTCTCCAACCACATTCTTTCGGTCCGGATTTAGACTGTCATCCAATGAGCAAAGACCATTTCCGCTTCTGAATCCTGCAGTGTCGTGACTGTCACTTTAAAAGGCGATGCAGCATTGAGAGAGAGAGAGGGCAAAGTAGCTGATGGAGCACTTTTCCAGGTAGAAGCAGGGCTCCTCCGGGGCGTCTCTTTTCCCCTGCAGTTGGTTTAATTCGTCTGCATCTGTAACTCCAGCTGCACGCAGTTTTCCTGTGTCCCTTTCCGTTGCCCATCAGGTTTATCTGTTACTTAATGTTCAGTCGATTTCCCTGTTTAGTAATAGAAACAATATCCTTCCCTTTCTCCCGTCGTCACATCACGTTTTTTCCTGCACTCACCCCACTTCTAAGGCTGACATCCTCGGGTTCCTCCACAGCTGTGGAACTTCCATATTCAGGCCTATGTGTGTGTTTTACAAGTATTCCTCAATTAGTGTACAGATGTTAAGCTCCAAAGACTGTGGCCTTGCTTTTTAAAGACACGTGGTATAGTTGGTTTGATAACACCTGTCTTGAAAGACTGGTGTTGGGAATAAAAGAATAAAAAATACACATAAAACAGGCAGTACACAACAGACACTCAAGACATTGTTGCTAACTTTATACAATTTCTTATGTAGCTGTCCCATAAAACTTCTGTCCATGGGGGTAATCAGCAAAAAAATACTGCTATTAATTTTAATCCCACAGTTCTCTTATGCTGACTTCTCAAAATGTTGTGATCCTTTTCCCCTTTTCTCCCTACCTGTGTTTCTATCATGTTTGTCATGTGCCTAAACCTAGATAGGAATAAATGGCAAGAAGTCAAGTTTGCTATGCAAAAGAATGAGCACTAGAGTAGGAGTCCACAGATCTGGAATATGTCATCCAAGTTTCTACCTACTCCCTGTGCAATTGTGGCTCCCCTCCTCAAGGGCCCCAGTGAGTTTCTGTGAAGATTGGTTTAGATGCAGGTATGTAAAGGTGGTCTGTACACTATAAAGTCCTCTACAAATTTAAGGTGGCATTTGGGGGAAAAAATGTTCTGTTAATCTCTCCTGCTTTCTTGATTAATTTTCTTGGCCCACCTCCCAAAATGCAAATCAGCACAGAATCCTTTCATTCTCTTCAACAATAAAAGTATAACTACTTTATATAGATGGCTACTGCCATTCATTCTATCTCTGTTTTCTCCATTCTCCCCCATCCCACTCCACAACTCTTCAAACTATTTAGGGGCTTTTGTTTAGAAATGTGAGGAACATGGGATGGAGAGGGGTGGTTTGGGAAGATGAAAGTGTGTTCCCAAGGATAGGTTTGACTGTGGTTATGAGTATAGAACTTTTGTAGTCAGCATTTATTGACTATTTCCTGTGTTTCAGACATTCTACTAAGTATGTTTGTGCTTAATGGAGTGAGATTTAAAATGAGACTTGAAGCCAGGCAGGGTGGTGGTGCACACCCATAATCCCAACTACTCAGGAGGCTGAGGCAGAAGGATCTCAAGTTTGAGACAGCCTGTCAACTTAGCAAGACCCTGTCTCAAAATAAAAAATAAAAAGGGCTTAGGTTATGGCTTGGGTTCAATCCCCAATACCAAATAATAATAATAAAGACTTGAATAAATGTGAAGGTATATATAATGTTCCTAGAGAAAAAAACTCAACTTTGGACATATGCATCCTTTTTTCTAAATTAACCTAAAAACTTAGCCTCATCAAAACAAACACACCAAGTTTTTTTTTTTTAATTAGACACAACGCTAAGATAATATAGAAGATAAAATTGACAAGAAATTTTTCAACAAGAAAAATGAGTGGATAACTAGCTGTACACTTATTTCAGATATTTTAAAGCATCAATAAGTGAAACAAGTAGTATTATATGAATTATTCATTTTAGCATATAACAAATAAAGCAATAATACAGAATAGAGGTTATAAAAATAGGCCCAAATGAATATTGAAATTCAATATATGATAACAAACTAATAGGGGGAAAAGGAACTGTTGAGTAAATAGTTTTGAAAGAACTGAATGGGCAACTGGAGAAAAATAAGTAGCATTTATTCTTCATTCTTTTAAAACCCAAACTGAGCAAATCTTTAAGTGTAAATAATAAAATTACAACAAGTGCTTAAAAATGGAAGGATTTCTTTATATCTGAGTTGTTAAGGCCTTACCAATTGTAAATGCAAAATCCAAATGGCTAAAAGAGAATATCAATAAAAGCAATCACACACAAAAAAACATGTTTTTAATTGAATGGGAGGAAAACACAAATTCAAAAGATAAATGATCAGATGGAAAAAAAAAGTACATCTCATATCAAGATAAAGGACTAATTTTCTGCAGAGATAAGCACTCCTACAAATCAATGAAAAAAAATACAGCCTCTGGTGTCTGGTTTGACATGAAAAGAGCTTGGAAATCATCAGTCCCATCTATACAAGGGAAAAGCCAAACAAACTAAAAATCAAGATTTTATCTTAAATTCATCAGAGAATTGAGGTCACAGGACAGACTGCTACCCTTAAAACTGGAGAGACCCAAGCAGATACATAGAATCACAGCTTACTAGAGCACAAGTAAAGAGAGAAACCCACAGCTGGAGTCAGCCTAAGTAGGACCACTTAATTGCTGAAGGCTCCTTGTGGATATGTTTAAGAGTTAAAAGTTCACAAGGGTCCAGTCTTGGAAGACCTCACACATTTCCGTGAGTTTTGTATCCAGAAGCCCCACCAAGTTCACTGTGAAGATCTGATAAAAATCCCTTCCTACTTCTCTCAAGAGGAGGGGAGAGTAACTATTTTGAAATATTCCCAGAGCTTACTCTTCTCCTTCAGGATACCAAGATGCCAGAGAAAATGTTTGTCTCTGACACCTGCAACTACAACAAACAGT